AAACTATGTTGGGCAATATTACGACGGCACAGAAAAGCGTGCCCCATTTGGTTTATCCGACAACTATACTGTCAAAATAGTTGCAAAAACCAGATCAAGACGTGAGGGGATGAGAACTCAGTGTTGGGAACAAACCCAACTGGATGTCTTATTAAATCCTTTATCATTCACCAATCATCATACGCTTCGTTTTATACTCTCGTTATATTTACTCTCGTTGTAACATCGTTACATTTCAAATGTCAATATCGATATATCGAGGTTAACAAAGGTTTGCTGTAAAGAATTACATCGTGAAACCGTTAAAACATAAATCTAAGTTATCCTTAGTAGAAACAAGTTCAAAATATACTTACATCTATGGCGAATTTAAGTCATTTTATCTACATGTGTCACAATCAAAATATCAACAGTTTGCGAAGCTTTCGTTATCACGCCTAAGAACTAAATACATTATGCTAAACTCGAAGAATTGGCGCGAAATAATTAACATAATTATTGCGTCTCTGTCTGGTCGTAACACTCAGTGGTAAAATGTCAAGTCACGCGATGTCAGGCCAAGTAATACAGCCACGCTTGGTAGGGTTCTCTCTACCGTAAATTGGCCGTGCTTGGATAACCTTAATACCTGCTTGGATAAACTTACCTTCTTTAATGAAATCGTGGTAACAACGTTTAACATAATTATGCCAAGTAAACTTAAGAAAGTTAATATTAATGATGCGCCATAGATGACAAATGAACCAAAACTATATAAGAAAAGACAATCGGCTTTTGCGAGAAAAAACAGAGATAGCTACAAATATTTTTGCAGTCTGGTGAATTCTGAAAGGAAGAAATGTAGGCAAAAGTACTACCATGCTAAAGTTAAGAACCTAAAACATACCAAACCGAGAGACTGGTGGGGTGCTGTAAAAAAAATAAGTGCATGGCATGGACTCTGTAGCTAAACCAAACCATCTTGAGAACATGGATATAACCGAAGTACGCGGCATTCTAGAACCCGTACAGCATTTCCAACCACTCAATAAGATTGAAGAGCGTGTTCAAGACATGGATCTCACCTGTAACCATAATGTTCAGTCTGTACTCTAGAAGACGTTTATAGAGTGCTAAAGTCCCTTAACCAATAGAAATCATCCGGTCCCGGTGATATACCCTCTTGGATTTTGAAAGATTTTGCTGAGTTCCTTGCGCTACGCCGCTACCAGTTTGTAAGATCCTAAGTAGTTCCTATATAAAGAGCAGTCTTTACCCCCGGTCTGGAAAAAATCGAACATTGTTCCCATTCCGAAAACCCTTCCTATTCAAAGTGTTAAACATTTACGGCCCATTTCCCTAACTCCTATTTTCGCCAAAGTTGCTGAGGAATTTATTATTAGGGAACATTTGGAACCGGCTGTAATGGAAGTGATGGAACCAGACCAATTTGGCGTAATCCCAGGCTCTTGTACCACCCAAGCGTTGGTAAAAATGATCCACAAGTGGTTGGAAGGGACAGATGGCAACGGCTCTTGTGCCAGAGTTGTTTTCTTTGACTACCAAAAGGCTTTTGACCTTGTTAATCATAAGACCCTTGTATGTAAATTAAAGAATCTCAGTTTGCCTACCACTACCCTCGTCGATTTCCTCCGTACAAGACAACAACGATTTAAACTAAGCAATGACTGCTACTCTGAATGGCGGAAGGTGCCCCCTGGTGTTCCACAGGGTACAAAACTTGGACCCTGGCTCTTTATCTTAATGTTAAACGACCTTAGACCTACTGGGGTTGACCAAGTCAAATTTGTGGATGACCTAACGATTTCAGGAGTAGTCTTAAAGCAGGCTGCATGTTAGTTCAATTCAAACAACTGTATCTACTGTACAAACCTGGTCCGATTTGATTATGTTTCGCCTTCATGATGACTTAGAATCGATTATAAACCAATTAAAAGTGAATTTCCTGCGATAATGGTGAATGGGAAACCAATTGTCCAAGAAGTAGAATTACTTGGTTTAACTATCACACACGACTTGAAATGGAACAAGCACGTAAATAAAATGATCTTGAAGTGTGCAAAGCGCTTATACTTATTAGTGCAATTGAAGCCAAAGTGACGTATATGATACTGGTGTATCATCATAATCATCATCATCATCATCATCAATGTGAAGAAACGAGGAGCGACGAGCATTGCTTCAAAACATTCCGGGCGTTAAAATAGAGCAATTCTTTAAGAACCTACGTTTAGAAGGTTTATTGCATAGAGCAAAGAGGTTAGGAAGAAACGACGCTGTGTTGTTTATGTATTGATCTCCTACACGAATATATATTATGTCGCGATCGAATAGCAAGTCAATACCTGATATTCTGCATACAGTACATAAATGATACTATACAAAACGGACATTTTGTGCAGTAATCAAATCATTTTGGCGGTATACAGTATTGATTATAAGTATATTGTTTTGTATCGATTTACGCTTCGAAATAGCCACATCATATACATAATATGCACCGCGGTTTATTTACATTATTTACAACGCAACGATTTTGGCTATTCTTATGAAATGACGGATAAATTGTTGCCATCATATAAATGTAGTGAATGTAGTTACAGTTGTTTACTAACGTAACTTGAGACTTTAAGTAATTTCCTTTTGATTAGTGTTTAACCTAGTTACTCCGGCGTGAGCAAGTGTATTTTTTTCGTCGTCCGCGCAAGTGTGTTTTGGTGCGAAATATACTAGTATTTGAAATGTGTATGTCACCGTATTTATCTCACAGTTTTGTCTCCCAAGAGTTGTGGTGCACAGCTTTGGCTAATTTTCCGATGATACGGCAATTCCTCCAAGAGGAACAAATAAACCGTTCTTTTGATGCTGTTCGATTAAGTTTAGATTTAATTGGGGTCAGAATACGTTTAATACACGTAGATTCTGGTCCTGTTTTAATAATATCGCTGCTATTTCGCCGTTTAACAAGATGATGTGGTCGTGTATGGGCGCGTTGACATGTCGCAGTTTGCACAGCCGGGATCGAAGATTTAATGGCACGAATTCCAAGGTGTAAGACAAAATGAACGTATCATGCGGTTTATTTCCATTTTTAAAACAATTGAACTATACTTTTTATAAAGTACGATGTGCTTCTGAATGTCGCGATCGAACAACATTTAGGTTCGCAAGGCATCTAAATGAATATGAACTGTATTGTTTATGTTGAAAAGCTTTATATTGAAGACTGGCACGTGCGCGGCACGCCGGAGTTAAAGCCAGAACAGGCGTCTTGTTTAATTATATTTTTTCCGGCATAAATCAAAATGTTTATGTTGGGACAAACGTCTGGTTGCTTAGGTATTACAGGCATAGAAACTTTGCACTATCTTTGGATCACTAGTCTTTTCCCCTGTGGGTTTGAGTCTAGGGCCTGTAAATTTCAACCGTCAAATACACGTTCTTGTTCTTTTCAAAACGGTATCTAAATTTTATTTACAATACATACAGTTATTTATTATACAGTTTGAAAACAAAATAAATCTAGTTTGTCACGTCGAAGAGTTACTTGACTAATTGTGACTATATACCGTTTATATCTCTCAGAAATCTCTTACTCATTGAAAGTCTACATATTATCGGAGATATCCTACTCAGTTCAGTCTTGCTCAACACAACACACAAAAAAATGAACTCATGTACAAAGATCTTTTTATAATAAAACGCCCCGGCCAAACTAATTAGAATTTGTGAATAATCATATATGTATATACAATGAGCAAAGGTTAAAGGCTTTTTGCCTTTACATACCGGGCCCCAAAATACGAAAGTATTTACAGTATATATACAACAATTTACTCAAGTGTAACTATTAGAGGTTTAAAGGGTCTTAATTTCGAGTGGAATTATACACACTTCAAATTCAAGCCAGGAACAGTTGATGGAAACACACTTCAAATTCAAGCCAGGAACAATCGCGCTTGTTCTTGTCAGCTACCTCTGTAGCTCAGTGGCAAGAACATTGCACCGGCATCGCAAAAGCGTAGGTTCGATTCCAGCCGGAGGACCTATAGTTGACTCATTTTTCCATCAACTGTTCCTGGCTTGAATTTGAAGTGTGTATAATTCCACTCGAAATTAAGACCCTTTAAACCTCTAGAAATTACCTGCATCGAGAGAAGTGCCAAAAATCACAAGTGTAACTATATTACACTGATTCGCGCAAACATACTTTGTTTATTGGGCGTTCCAAACTTGTCATCTTTGTTTCGACAATTACACGACCTCAGAGATGCTGGTCTTTGTTGTCCTTCATGTTTCTGAACCATACTGCAGCACTGACTTCACATTTGTGTTGAAGATTCTGAGTTTGTTGCGGGGTGAAAGGGCTGAGGAGCTCCAGATGAGGCGTAGGAAGTTGTTTAGCAACGTAAGCACTGTTTAATGCCATTATAATGAAAAAAATTTCTTTTTCTGCCAGTATTTAGCCATAAAAACCAGCTTGCGCAGCTTAGCTTGAAACGATAAATGCATTGGGGAAGTAGATCCGCCACTGAAATTGGGGGAGAATATTCATATGTTTATATCCTCTCACCCTAAAAATAATAGCCTTTAAATGGAATCAGTGCGGCATGAGACCATCATATATAAGAATATACACTTCGAATTAAAAACTGCTACCAAATAACGCCTCTCAACAGAGCAAGCCGTTTTTGACGAATCGCGATTACTCCTTGCGCGTCTGATGTTTATAGATCGCGTCACAAACTGTACTAATTACACCTAATGGGAGCCACCTTAACAAACGTACTATGATTTTTCCTCCAATATATGACCGCATGCTTGTGAAGATGAATTTGGTCATCCTTTTCCCTGAGTAGCTGGTATAAGAAACGTAGCATGCTTGTAAATTTTGTGAATACGTTTGACAAAGACTTTAAAGTAGAGCCGAAGTATTATCTGAATATTGTGTCTTGTTTTTATCAGAACAATCTCCCAATTATTTCCTTCTCTGATTTCAGGGATTTTCAATTTAAAGATCAATTTGATGGATCCAATAAAAAGCAAAGCTAATTATTCCCGGGTCTGTCAACTGTTGGTAGATAAAGGAGGAGATGCTTTGAGACTTGCTCTACATTCGGTGCATCCACCTTCCACCTTGTCCTCCGCATTGAATGCAAACAAGAAGACCCTGCAGAGAATGCGATACAATATAATTAAAGCCCCGCAATGGGATCTACTCTTCCCAATATCTGGTACACCAGATTCAAACAACTTCGATATCACCTTACTGACTGTCCTACTTCGAAATATTTGTGGATTGTCTCCACCAGCCACTGGGTGGAATGTTATGCCTCCAGTTAGTGATACATCTATATCAGCAAACATTTTGAGAGTCAAAATGTTCAGGAATGAAGTGTATGGTCATATTTCAACCGCAAGTTTGGACGACACAACGTTTGAACCGTTGGTCAACTTGGGAATTCCTCAAACTGATATTGATGAGTTGAAAGTGGCTCCTCTCAGCCCTGAAGAAAAAAGTTATATTGACAGATTAAAAGAATGGAAACAACAAGACGATGACTTGAAATCAGAATTAAGTGATGTTAAAACAGAATTAGGTGATGTTAAAACAGAAGTAGGTGATGTTAAAAGTGAAGTAGTCAAGCTAAGAAAAACTGTAGATGAGAATGTTCATCACTCGACTCTTGAATGCAAACAACGAGACGATGACTTGAAATCAGAATTAAGTGATGTTAAAACAGAATTAGGTGATGTTAAAACAGAAGTAGGTGATGTAAAAAGTGAAGTAGTCAAGCTAAGAAAAACAGAAGATGAGAATGCTCATCACTCAACTGTCGAGAAACTTGCTAAATTTGACTTTACTGGAAAGATTGATGACCTTTGTAAAAAATTTCATGAAAGCACTAGAAAATAAACTCTCAAGTTGGTTTGTGAGTAAAGAAACCAGGGTTATGATCCTAACTGCAGGTCCAGGCGCTGGAAAAAGTGTTTTGTGTGGAAAGATCTCTGAGCTGTATAGAGAACGTGGCCAACTTGCAGCTCACCATTTCTGCGACTTTCGAAATTCTGATTACAGCAATCCTCACAGAATCCTCCAGTCCCTTGCCAGCCAAATGTGTGATAATGTTGATGGATTCCGTGATAAACTAACCGAAATCCTTCGTCGTGAACATTCTCGGGACTCGTTGTCAGACGCATTTCGTGTTCTTTTACACGATCCACTACACTCTCTTCGCAGAAATGATCCAATGTTGATCATTGTTGATGCCTTGGACGAGAGCAAAACTGATATGAAGAGTGAATTTTTAGAGTTGATATCTGAGAAATTTTGTGAACTGCCTGATTGGATTAAGATATTCATTTCGAGCAGACCGGAGCTACAAGTACGGAAGGTTCTTCAACATTTACAGCCGTTTGAAATCAGTCCTGATGATGAAGATCACGATCAAGATATTGAGCTTTTCATTCGTGGTGACTTACCTAATCTTGATGATGATAGCATATGGTCAGTTGTTTCGAAGTGTGAGGGGTCGTTTTTGTACGCTTATCACTTAGTTCATGAATTAAGAGAAAAGGGCTTGGGAATTGAACCCGACTTAAGTGATTTCATCCCCAATGGTATTGCCGGATATTACGAAAAACAGTTCAAACGTTTGAAAAGCCGCCTCCAACGTTTAAAGCAAGATACCTTTTCTTCTATCTTAAAAAGTTTTATCAATGTTATTGCCGCCGCATTCGTGCCTCTCCCACTGAAAATTCTTTTTACATGCATGGGTCTGCCCTGGAAAGAATTTGAAATACGCACGGCGATTATTGACATTATGTCAGAAATTCTTCCAGTTTATGATGGTTGCCTGACTCTTTATCATAAGTCATTATGGGATTGGATGACGTTGAATGGGTTTGAGGAACATGCGTTTGTTGCAGATGTTAAAGACGGAGATAGACGTCTTTGGCGTGCTTGTGAGAAGCAATTCTGTGAGATAGAATCTTTGAAGTGTATTTTAGAATTTCAAATTTCACCCGAGAATAAATACGCTTTAGAAAATGGTGTGAAATATTTGATGAAAACAGGTAAAGTGGAGGAATTCCGCTGGTTGGTGCATGTTCGGGTAAACTATTTAAGACTAAAATTTTGCGATGGCACCACCGATATTGATTTGAACCTAATCCTTGACACGTATGGTAGTGATCTTTCCAAAGATATTTATTACGCCATAATTCAACTGCATTGTTTCTTAAAAAAGTTAAGAATAGTTAATACCATGGTAGAAAGCCCTCCAGCATATTGTGACGATTATTTGAAAGATCTTGCAAACGGATACTTTGATTTTTCACAAAATAATTTCTGTCCTAAAAATGTTGCTAGAAATATCTTGGATACAATAAATGAGATTTGGATAGAACGTGTGACAAACGAAGAGAATAATAATTTAAATCATGTCTCCTGTGCCTTGTTAGTTGATTCAGTTACCAGTTCTCTGTCACCGGACAATACGATGTTTGCCCTCTTTAATACTTCAACATGGACAGTGCAAGTGCTTAAAATACCAAGCCTCGCGACTCTTTTCAAAATACAAGTAGATGAGACACACCGTGATATATATGACTTCATTGCCTTTTCTCCTGATTCCTCCTATTTGTTATGCAATTCAATTCGGTCATGCGTCCTTGTTAAAGAACAAAAGGAAGTACCCTTCATTGCACACGGCCCCAAAGACATTTGGAGTTGTTCGTTTTCTTCATGTGGAACTAAACTTGCTACACTTGGGCGGGCATTCATCCAAGTGTGGGATGTAATGCGGAAAACCCTATTAGCAGAAGTTGACAATGACTGTTGGAGAGTTGGGACTTATTGTTTGTTTAGTTTGTGTGGCTCCTACATTCTCCTTTTGAATGAGTATCACGCCTCATCAATGTGTGAGAATGTCTTGGGCTCTGAGAATTTGGAAGAAGTGTATATTGAAAAGAATTCTTTTGCGCCGTGTTTGTCAAGTAAAGATTCGATTCAGATTTGTTCACCAAATAGATTGGTTTTTGGCAAACCATCCGGTAGGATTAGCTTTCATCATGTTTGTCTGCCATCTGGTGGGGTGGTCCTCCTTTCTAGTAAAAAATGTTCAAAAACCTTTTTATGGAAGGGAAAAAAGTGTGTAGCGTTTAGCGATTACTCCTCCGAAGGTGTTGTAACTCTGATAATATACGATTTTGTAAACCAAAAGATGGTTGACGTTTTTCAGATTGATTGTTTGCCTGTTGGGTGTGATTTCGATATTTCAAAACTAGAAGGGACGAAATTCTTTCTAAGTTTGTATCCAAACTTAGTATTCATTATATCTCTGGAATCTCCTGATGCTTCTTTTGTCGATTACAGCGAAATAGATTACTGTGCATTATCTCCGGAAAACTTGTATGTAGCGTGTTGTTTTGAAAATTGCATTCTTTCAATAAGAAGTATCGACGGTGGGGAAACATTGCAAACTGTTGCACTGAAACAACGAGCAGTGGCGTGTTGGTGGTCTGAGTCGTATCTTTGGTTGGTCTGTGAAGGCGTGGTTGTTAAATATCCTTATGAACCTTTGAATTCAAATATCTTAGGAAATCAAACTGAAGAATCTATTTTAAATTTTAGTCGTGTTGTTAAGTTTACAAAAGGTGTTCTTGTAATTAGCACTAATGGAAGAATTTCTATTTTGAAAATTTGTGGTGAAAATCTCAGTCTTCAAGAAATACCTTCTTGGAATTTTGAAAAGTTTGAAAAGTTCACTTCTGTCGCAATAAGTTATGATGGGTGTGCTGTTATGTTACATTGCAGTTGCAGGAAAATTTATGAATTGTGGGAAATAGAATGTGGCAACAGATGGCTTGTACGTTCAACGGGAGAGTTGAATGAATCAGTTGAATGGTTCTGTTTAACTGGTACTAATATGACTCGTAGTTTAGTATTAGTGTCATCCGACAATCTATTAATTACCTGTGAGAATTTTGTTTTAAGTTCTATTGCGTTTCCAAGAACTGGTATAAGAATTGCGCATACTCTTCCTATTGGATCTTTTCGGAAGGCTTTTTACATGGATGCCGAAATTGTAGGTCTTTTCAGTAGTGGTATGATGCATTTTGTTAATGTGTCCGAAGGCAGAATCATATCCTCTGCATTTGCACCTTTTGGTTCTCCCAATGAATATTTTCATTTTTTCCTCCCATCGACTTGTTCCTTTCTATACGTCGGGATAAATTGTAACAAACATTTTAAAATTCATAATATTGAAAAGTATTTAGCGCTTCCTTTGCGTAATGATCCTGGAAAATGCGACTTTTTGTCTTAGATGAGGAAAGATCACGAATCATTAATTAATGCTTAAAAATATTAATTGATAGAAAATGTTAAGGTAGATAAGTATTGCCAATTAAACTTACAGATAATACCCCACAACTTAATTTGAATAAACGACGTAATATTAGGGACAAACCATAAGATGTGTCAAATGTTTGAACTGTGCCGATTTTGTTAAAAGAAATAAAAAAATCCATTTTTGACTAAATCTTGTATCGTCTTTATAGCATAAGAGTCGATTGATTCAAATATTTGCTACGAAGATACTTGTGGTAAGCGTGCAAATATACAGCTAATTCAAGAAACGGTTTCCATACACATACATGTGACGTCGCCAGCTCGTTAGGTCGGCTGGGGGATACTCGTGTATTTATGTTCTACATATAGTCCTAACACAAATCGATTGTTCTAGCGGTCAGTGAACATACATGGATATATAAATGTGCTCCTTAATAATGCTGGTACGTCACTGGTCATACAAAAATCAAAACGGAAATTAACCAAAACAATTTCTTTCCGATTGTTTCATGGAAAATTATATGTGCACGCGTAAATAAGTCTGCGTATGCACAACATACCTGGACCATGAATATTTGCATACCTATAACGAAATATTCTGATGTTTAAAGTTTTAACTTCCTGGGCACTTCTTTTTCTTCCTGAGTTGGCTGTTTACCGCGATCTCTTGCATATATAATTTGGTTTACTCTGAGAAATGTCGTAAAAATTGAAATGATCGTTATCTGAGCAAATACTTTTCTTAGCATTGGATAATTAAGGGCAATATATTCATCAATTAAAAACCTTAATTTTAGGTCATCTGATGTCATTACTATAGTTAATCTCACGCGTAAGACCCAATTACACTATACGGTTTCGCTAATGAATACAGACAAATATTCTAGCTGCTAAAAGGCTGTGAGTATTTATGTCTGATCTAAAAAAATCTACTAAATCTATCAAACCAATGAGCTTCTACTACCAACCATTTCTTGTTAACGGAAACGAAATTCTCGTGACCAGCTAATCCTGTGTCGTGTAATGTGGGCCTTAGTCACAGATAAAATTACTGTTACTTGTATATCTAAGATTATTTCAAGATAATTGGAAATTTGATTTAGCCAATATTAAGCTACATTTGAATGTTGGCGTAACTGATTACGTGCTAATTGAACGAAAACAAGTACCTACAGGTAGACCTACGGTACTTTCCATGCAGAAATAACCTACGAAAAACCGCGGTTAACCTAGGTCAAACCTAGGTCTGATCGTGGTTGAACTGAGGTCAGACCGAGGTCGAATCGTTGTGAGACGGAGGTTAAACCTCGGCCTCATTCTCGGTATGACAGACATTTCCTAAGATTTTTTCGATTTGGTTAATGTGTTGTCGTTCTCATTGTTCATAACATTTCTTTCGGAAGCGAACGGCCACTGCGAAGGTATTTTTTCCCTTGCGGTCGTCTGCGGTTTCTATCAGTCTACCGCAACCGAACATCGACCGAACTGCAACCGCAGTGTTAGGTTATGTTAGGTTATTTTTGCACAGTACTGTAATTTTGTGCAGTTCTGATTTTATCCTGGAGATCTTGAGGCTAGATCATATTTAGTCCCAGATCATAATTGTGACCAATTTATACCACTTTCGGTATACTCATTTTAATAATTGCGTTTGTAAATTATTGTTCCAAAACCCTGCATATTTTTCTGCGTTGAATTTTTAAGAATAAAAAATCTTCATTTTTAGCTACTTTTCGAACATTTTTTATGCTTGTCTTCAGATTTAAAAAATGAAGTAAGAGTTAAGTTTGAAGGCGATTAGATAAACTGCAGAGACTTTCGTGTATTCCTATATTCATTTAATCAGTTAAAAACAAAGCAAAAATAAAAAGTGAACGGACAAAGACAAAAACCTTCGAAACGAGGATGGTCGAATATGATTTGGTTGAACCAAGCTTCCCCAGATACTGTGAGAGATAAACTTTCTTAAGGCCCATTCACAAGATCTATCTGTCGGATCCAATTCACTTCTGACGGATGGAATGTAGTTGATTATTTATAAAGCAGTGGTGCATTGACTTTAGTTCATTTGTTGTCCACATACGTTGCAAGTTAACAGACTATAAAACATCCATCAGAAGTGATTTGGATCCGACAAAATTGGATCGTGTGAACAGACCTTGAGGAAGCTTTAGAGGGTATATAGAAGAAAAAACAATTGAAAAGTTGTAATGTTCGCCAGAATTATTTCCATTTAATTTAACTTGTAATCTTTTCTTATTAGTAGAAGAGCTTCAACCAGCAACAATATCGAATACTATAAATTAGTATTATAAAAGTATTAGTCAGTATTATAAAATGTACTATATATATATTCTATACTATATTCTAAATTTGTATCCAACACATGTAATTCAGTCTTAAGACTGCGAGATGTTGTTTTTAATAAACTACTACTACTACTACTACTACTTAATAATGATTAATATTTTGGTTATTAATGTTTTTTTAAACTTTTTCTTATTACTTGTAAATCCACATCTGTCGTATGTATCTAAACACGTCGTTGTCCGAAAGTCAACCTTTTTATAAGTGTATAAATGTTATTACTCTCTTTGATTTTAGACAATTTAGAACTATGGTTAAGATTATCAGCTTGTAGTTTAGCAACAAATGAATTAAAATAAATAAATGCGTTAATTATTGTCTTTGCGTTTGTTTTAAAAAGGTTTCAAAGAGGAAAGATGCTTCGAAAAATAAACCTTCGCGGCTGTACGTCGAGATAATTCTGCTACTAGAGTTATATCTTGTTGAATATCTATTTTTAGGCTCATCATATCGTTCAACGGCATACATGCACGATATCTTCAACATCAACGCAGCGTTTAACAAATAGCTCTGTCTATAGTGCTGCACAACCAATGCCCTCGTTCTTCAGTTTTGTCTTTCAGCATGCCGGCCACCAGATCTAGTACCCAGTACGAGAATTCAAAGACGCGCCCACATCAACCTTCGCGGCGCATAACGACAGCAGCAAGGTCAAGGGTGACAATACAGTCCACTGACATCACACAAGTCAGCAAGTATAACATAAGCAATTGTTTGAAAAAGTGTAACATAAACAATTGTTTACGTAAGAATAGTTCCATGGTTAAAAGTTTGAAAAGAATTGTATGTTTGTTACAATTTCTTTCTTATACTAGAAATACATGCATGCAGCAACCCATCTCCATTTCAAACGAAGCAAATTAAATATTCCCTGAGTTAACCAGACATATAAAGGCCGACATAGCTGCATGATGTTTCAAATTTTTCGGAAGCAAACACAGTCTTATAAAAGGTGAAGTGAAATCGTGCTGCGTTAACTAAGTTGCATGCAGTTTATAGACTTTCACAGTTTAGGCCTGGTTCACACTTGTCCTAGGAATCTGGGATTCCCTTTGTCTGTGGTCGCTGGTGCACAAAATGCTTTGTCTATCGGAAAGTACTACAATGGATCCCCGATTTTTAGGGTCTGTTTACATGAAGCGAGTTACCTCGGCTAGGCGAGGTGAAAACTGCATAAATTATAATGAAAGACTAATCAGGTTAAGCCTTTGATGTGATGCGCTTTTTACCTCGCCTAGCCGGGATAACTCGCTCCATGTAAACAGGCCCTTTAGGAGCCTTCAAAACATCAAAACAGCACAAATAATTTAAAAGCCCCATTCCCCAAGCACTAAACATCGAATGTTGTTTTTCGATTATTGAATTTATGCAGAGATTGCGGTCGACTCTATAAAAGCTTTGAAGCGATATTTGTTATATCAAAACTACGAATTACACTCTCAAGAACTCGTTTTGAAGTTAAAACGATGATGCAAAGCCTCAAAAATAGTCGGTTAGAAATATAATTTGTGTATTTTTTCTATTTTATTCCTTCTCTGGTTTTACATGTTTATATTGCTCGCCATCTTGGAAAAAAGTCCCCAATGTTCCACCAACTTCCAAATTTATGCTCCCTATCTAATTCGAATAAATTAATATTAGAATGTCTAAATAAATTAACATACATCATCCCCTATTTTTTGAAGTTTTTATAAATTAAATATGTTAAAATTCTATCTTTGAATGTTAATGAAGTAACTTTCTATTAGGGGGGTTAGTTCGTTACGCCGTAATGAAGGTGTAGCTTGCTTCTCTTCGAAGCAGCAATGTCCGTCCTCTTCTGGATTCGCTTAAGGCTATTAAATTTCTTCAGTAACTTCAATAACCTCAAGTTAATCTTCATAACTCTGCTCTCTTATTTTCAAAAGTTTTATATCAACTGGAAGCCGGCACAACGTTAGTCAGGTTTCCCCTTGCTCCACGATAATTTTGTTTCCTACATCGTTAATATCAATGATCAAAGGTTGGTCAAAGAAAACCGGATGAAATTTCGCTGACCGGCGGTATTTTCTGATCAGCACCTTCTCCCTCACGTTAAAGTTTGTTTTCTTTTTGTATTTGAAGATATTGACCTCCTTCTCGTAATTGGCTTTTCTATTTTTGTCCGTTTCCTTTGCTTTCCTCACTTCTTCTTGGGTTGCATATTTTCTTGGCAACCGTGAACGTTGCCTATCCCGGAACAGCATGGCTGCGGGAGGCATACCCGTTGCTGGATGAGGTTTTTGCCGGTAATTGTTCATTGCTCTTTTCAAGGTTTCGTTGTCGGCCACGCCTTTCTGATGCATATTCTTCATGGCCTTACCCAAAGGCCGCATAAATGTAACTACAGGGATCGAAATTCGCTTAATTAATTTCACTCCGTGCTGGAATGACTCTATTTGCTTTCGTTGATATGACCAGTTTGGCTGCGGGAAATCGCGACGCTAGATCTTGCACGACTACAACGTGCTTTGACGATGGCATCGGTCCAAACAAGTCGACTGCTACCGTGTCACAACATTTTCTGGGACTTTGTGTGGCTTGGTTGGTTCTTTAGTCTTCTTATCTACAAAAATAGTACAGCCGTCGTATGACTCAACCAACTCCTTCACTTTCCTATTCATATCATGGAAGAAAACGTGGTATCTAAGCCTTCTTTCTAGTCCGCTTTGGCCGGGATGCGATCCTCTGTGGGCAATTTTAAGCCTCGTTTACACTACACTCAATTTATTGGCACGGCACGGCTAAAATTGTTACTCGTGCCCAATTTTATTGGCGTTCAGGCTACCAAAACAAAGGCCGAGCACAGATGAAATGGGCACGGGTACCCATTTTAGCCGTGCCGTGCCAATAAATCCAGTGTAGTGTAAACGGGGCTTTAATTGTCATCTTTTGAAGCTTCTCCGGTAAAACGATTCTTTCATCTTTCAATATTATACCATTTCCAGTGACCGTAAGCTGTGGTAGGATCTCCTTAAAACGCTGCACATCGCTTGCCTCCGTCTTCGGAATCCAGGTTAGTCTTTATTTATAGGCTTCCCGATCGTTACAAGAGTTGGATCTTCCTTCGTACACTGTGCAATTCTTGCATAGCCGATGCAGTCGAGTACCGAAGTGTTGTGGAGCATGTATAATAGATTATTTAAGTCGTCCGCTTCCTCTTACTTTGACTGTGGCAACTTTTGGAGCGGTTTTGCATGCCGTGATATGTAATGCAACTGGCTAATTTTCCCTCGCTGGTAAACCAAGATAAACCGAATGTCTTCATGTCTCATCTTGACTCTTTCGGTTTGAAGTGAACCGTGCCGTTTACCGTTTAAAATTGAGCAAAAATGTTGTATGATGGTCTGTTATTGAGCATAAATGTTGTTTGATGGTTTGATTTTTGTTGGAACACCGACGACGTAGTTGCAGAATCTTCTCAAGTCGAAGTCGATGCCAAGGGCTTCCAGATCAATCTGAGGATGTGGATACTCGTTCGTTGCTCTTGATGCTATTGCCACTGGTCTTGCCTTCTTAACGCTATTCCCTTGTGCCAACATCGCTGCAAGGCCTGTCTTGTGGGCATCAGTAAATATAAATGTTTGTTTACCAATATCAAAATATTATAGTTATAGCGTTCGCTGCTTGCTTTGCGAAATTTGGGATGAACTCTGCATATGACTGCATCATACATAGGAAATTTACTATAAGTCTTCCTTCGAACTGGGCGGTG